ATGTGGATAGCATTTTTTATCATGAGGCCTTTGGAATTATATTGCTGAGAAAAGCTAAGTCATTCACAGTTGATCACTGTATACAATGTTGCTGTTCTCCTAGTTCTGCTTATTTCATTTTATATCAGTTCATGTACGTCATTCCAGGTTTTTCTGAAATTATCCTGCTCACCATTTCTGATAGCACAATAGAATTTCATCAAAATCATATGCCACAACTTGTTCAGCTATTCTTCAGTTGATGGGCTTCTCCTCAATTTCCAATTCTTTGTCACCACAAGAAGAGCTGCTGTAAATTCTTTTGTACAAGTAGGGCCTTTTCCCTTTTTTTTTTTTATCTCTTTGGGGTATAGACCTAGTAGTAGTATTGCTGGATCAAAATTTGCACAGTTTTACATTCATTTGTTCATTCATTTAGCAGGAAACTGAAGCAGAGAGATTTGAGGTGACTAGTAGTCAGAGGCAGTAAGTGAAGCCATGTCTTCCATGACTTCAGGTCCAGGATTCTTACCACTGTACCACTAAGTTTCTCTCAGGAGATCCTGTGTCCACAGGAAGGTGGCAGGGCTTAGGATGAATCAGATAAGGGATGTCCATCTCCACCAATAGGTGTTGGTCCCCAAACTTTCTGGTTGTTAACAGGAAGTTCCTCTCAGGCAGGTATTAGAATCAGATCTTGGATTTGTGCCTTAACAGTTTGCTGGGCTCTTTCTTGTGCTGGATAAAGACTAGAACAAAACTAGCTCCTTTGGATTCCCACCTAGCTCCAGTTTGCTTCCCAAGCCCATTTCTTTTACGATGTAAAATCCAGAAATCAACATTTCTCCCCACTTGTACTTGAGGAGATGAGAATAGGCTTTGCTTATGACTTCATTAGTTTGTTCATGCTGTTAGCTATCCTAATGCTTCCTTCTGTCAGCTTACCCTTCCCCCACTTTTCATCATGCTCCATTTTTTCCCTTTGGTTAGCAGGGGCAGCAGCTGGCTCGTCCACATCCTGGCACAAGGCGTGTGAGTGCCTGATGGCTGAATTGGTGCTAGTCACAAGCTTCGAATCCCAACTAGGGAATCTCTTTTTCCTCTGCCACATTGAACCTTACCCCATTCTACGGCGAGAGCACTTGAGGACCTAGAGGGCCACATGTGGCCTCGAGGCTGCAGGTTCTCTACCTCTACTAGATACATATACATACTCTTGTGGAAATCTTACTTTTTACCTTCTCACTCTATTTGTTTTCCCTTTACAATGTGAGTTCTTTAGATCACTGCTGAACTCCTAAATGAAGCTGCCTTCTTGAGAAGTCTCTTGGGAAAAAGGAATATCAGTACAATTAGTTTATCTTAGAAGAAGAGTGGCTTGTGGTCTATCTTATAAATGCCTTTTAAAAAGATCCTGTTTTATTAGGAGTTATTCATTTGAACGTGGCTAGAAGTTGAAACTTTTTATTATAAATAACTTATTGATACATGTACATTGATTACTCGATGTGTTCATGTATCCCATCCCCAGAACCTTTTGTTAAGTTGAAGTTAATCTGTCAACCTTTAAATGAATTCGTTTTTGTATTAGAGTCCCATCTTTTTATAAAAAGTATTCAGTTATTAATTCCTTAGTGGAATCTCATCTTCCTAAGGGGGGAATGAATAATGCCAAGTTTAAAAAAATGGATTCTAATTTTCTTTTTTCTTTTGGTGGCAGTTGGGGTTTAGTGACTTGCCCAGTCACGCAGCTAGTGAGTGTTGCTTATCTGAGGCTGGATTTGAACTCTGGTCCTCCTGACTCCAGGGCCAGTGCTCTTATCCACTGTACCACCTAACTGCCCCAGGGTCTAATTTTCTGTTTGTACCTGAGTTTCCTTTATATATCAACATGACAGTTGGCCCAACTTAAAATTTAAATTCCCTGGTCTGAAAGGTTCCAAATTTTATTTTCTAGGAATAGGCATAAGGTTTGAACTAGCTTTCGTTATCTGACCTGGTTATTGGCAACATAAATTTAAAATTGTGTTAAGATCGAATTTGTAGGAAATTTTTAGCAGAGAAGAGAATTTCTACTAGTGACTTGAGTGGAGTAGAGCTGTTCTGAGACCACACCCAAACCACAGGACTGAATCAGATGTTTCCAGAGGAACTGAGGGAGATACATCTATGGATTTTATTTTGCTATTTACTTTTTTTCCCCTTTGTGCCTTTTATCTGTAAGGTCTACTTATCAAATGAGATTGCCCTCTTTGGTTTTTGTCAAAATGGTATCAAAGGGGATTGCCTCCTTTGATTTTGTCAGTCTTTCCCTTTTTCTTCTTACATTGTCTTCCCCAGTAACTCCCATAGTTAGAAACCCTTGATGAAGTGTTTGTCATATCAGTTAGTGATTTATTGAGGAGGCCATGCCTTTCAAGAATCAAATGGGGGAATGTGAGAAATGATTACTAATAACCAGTATCTTGGGGAGATTCAGAGGCTCTCCCCTTTTTCTTTTTTTGTTTTTTCCAGACTGCTAAAATATGAAATTTATTGTTGGCATATGTTTTTCTTTTTTTTTTAATTAATTTATTTTGATTTATCAATAATCACTTCCATATGCTTTTGAGTTTAACATTTTTCTTCCCCGTCGTCCTCAACACCCTCCCCAAGACAGTGCACAATCTGATATAGGTTATACATTTACATTCATATTAAACATATTTTCACATTAGTGATGTTGTAAGTCAAAATTAAAACCAATAGGAGGAACCATCAGAAAGAGGAAACAAAGCTCACCAGAAGAAAAAAAACAGCAATTCAGCTTCCATATTTCTTTCTTTGGCCTCTGGAGATATCTTAGATCCTTGTATTGCCGGGAAGGGTTAAGTTCATCAGTATTAGTCATTGCACAATGTGGCTGTTATTGTGTACAACTTTCTCTTAGTTCTGCTCACTTCACTCAGCATCAGATCATACAAGTCTTTCCAGGTTTTTCTGAAGTCAGCCTGTTCATCATTTCTTATAGCACAGTAGTATTCCATCACATTCATATACCACAACTTGCTCAGCCATTACCCAATTGATGGGCATCCTCTCAATTTCCAATTCTTTGCCACCACAAAAAGAGCTGCTATGAATATTTTTGTACATGTGGGTCCTTTTCCTATTTGTGTGATCTCTTTGCTCTCCCCATTTTCTAAATTCCTCATTTTTAAAAGTTCCCGTTTCTTGAAGGGAAATCATTGTCATTACTGATAATGAGATTGTGTTGACTCTCCTCCATCTTGGTGAGACCCCACCCAATCTTGTGAGGAATTTAATCTAGGCTGGGAAGGCCCATTGTGTTCTGTTCTAGCTTGGGTGAAGACATATCCTTTTGTCTAGGGGGGTGGTCTGAGTAGAGATGATTTCTCTGTCCTAGGGTCACAGCCCCATTGACTACTGCTGTTCCTGCTGAAACCTACTGCTTCAAAGGATACATAAACTGTGAGCCCCACTGTCATGATTGTCTTAGGTCTAAGAGAGATGGCCAAATGACCATCCTTTTATTAATAACCTACTGGCCTTATTAATAAAATTATTAACCAGGAAAAAAAATAATGTTTCTTGGGGAGAAGAGACTCTAGGCAATCACGTAACTACTTTATACCAATTTAGGTGTTACAGAAAATGGTGGGCATACTTTGAAGGACGGGTTCTATCTGTTTTATGTGTAATGGTCACAAGGTCAGAGTAACTCAATGTACTTCTTCTTCCTAATTGTCTTTGTAGTCTCCTTTAGCACTGAGCATGATCTTCCATCTCAGTCTCTTTTTCTGATTCAGTGTAGGTGGGCCCTCTTCTCTCTCTCCATTCCCTTGGTAACCTCTTTGGCTCCCATTGACTTAATTATCATCATCCTTATGCACATGACTCCTAGATCTGTGTATCTAGCTTCAGTCTGTCTTGAGCTCCAGTCCCGGATCCCTGACTGCTGATTAGACATTTCAAGCTGCATGTCCCATAGACATCTCAAATTCAACATGTCCAAAACAAAACTGATCCCATTTTCTCCAAAATCCACCCCTCTTTGGAACTTCCTCCATATCTTTTGAGGACACCACCATCCTTCCAGTCTCCCAGCCTCAGCACTATCCTCATCTCCTCACCCTTGTTCACTCCACGTATCCATGAAATGCTCCATCTTTCCATTTCTTCCTCTGCAGCATCTTTCAAATATGGCCCTCTCTCTTGACTTACATGGCTAACCCCTTCCTGTCTCCCTGTCTCCCTGTCTCCCTACCTGTGGGATAAAAGAAAAGCTTCTTTGGCCTTCAGAGCTCTAAGCATGCTGTTGTCAAGCCCGCAGGCCACTTCCTCACACTGCTTACACGCACTTCCCTGGCCTTTACGCTGGCCAGGGCTCATACTTAGAAGGCGCTTCTCCCTTCAAATTCTCCATATAATAAAGAAAGGAAAAAAAGCATCAGGCAGAGAGAACAAATCCTTCATTCGTTCCTCTGTTACGATGGCAGCGTTCAGGTTCTTCGTCAGAAAACAGGCGATGCCGATTTCCAGGTACTCCTTATTGTAGATAATGGAGAATGAATGTAGTATTTCGTGTACCCCCTTTTTCTGTTCTTTCTGTTCTATACATAGAGAAATGTTCATATATTCTGGTGTCTAGCAAGAACTAAATAACAAAAATTTAAAGTTTATACTAAAAAAGTCCACTCAAACACCGCCTTCTGCATGAAAGCTTTCCTGGCACCTCCAGCTCCTTCCCTAATGCCTTCCCTCCCTAAACTACTTTCTATTTATTTTGTATTGATTCTCTTTATATCAAGATATGTACACACTGTCTCCCATAAGCTCCTTGAGAGTTGAAGTTATTCAGTTTTTTTGTATTTGTATCCACAGTGCCTAGCACAGTACCTGGCACATAGTAGGTGCTTAATAAATGCTTATTGACTGATAGATGTACTTTTGGGTAGAACCTGTTGAGCTCAGTAATAAGATTTTTTTTCCTTCACATTTCTCTTTTTTTCCCCCTCTAGATGTGAAATCTGGTCGCTATACTGTATTACAAGTGGTGGAAGCCCTTGGGTAAGAGACCTTGTTCTGCTCATCTCCTTACCAACCTATTTTCCTAGATTTCTTGCTTTAAAGCTATGCTTTCTTGCTTTGGAAATGGAGGGTTTTTTCCCATCTGTTCTGGAATATATTAGTCCCTTACTTGCTCTCATTCAGCCCCTTCTACCACCTCTCTTTCAAACCAACCCAGTGTATAGAACTGACTCTTATGTAGGCCTTATGTCCACAAGGAGAAAATACAGGCTATGTTCTGTCAGCCTAGGGACGTGTAAGCTTATGGGCCAAGGGATCCAGTCCACACCCTTCAAGAGGGTGCAAGAGCAGTAGTGCTGTGGGGGACATAGGTGGCCTCACCCCATGGGTACTGGAGGTGCCAGTCAATCTGGGGCTGGTTTACAGAACAGAGGTGTGGGGCTCCTGTCCTGAGGCCTCGATGGCCATCTTCTGTCCCGTTCCTGGGCTTGAAACTATAGATAAAGGTTGGGGAAGTAACCAAAGCAAAAGGACCAGTCCATGCATATAGGCTTTTGCTGGGGACAAAGTCCCCAAGTGATGTTCGTCGGACTTTATGGACCATATTTACTGACAATTCTGTTCAGATGCTTATTACAACTGCCACCAAAATGGATGCATTGCAAGGGGCAGAGGGAAAGTCCACCAAGTGACTGTTAGAATCCCACAAGCCTTCAGCTTCTCCATTACTTCTGCTGTTGCTTTTGTATAAATACCTTCCAGTTTGCTTTTTTCTTCCAGGTGAGTTTCCCATGGAATTAATTGTCAGGGGATCATTTTATTATCCTCTAATCCTAATGCTAACTTAAAGTCTTTATTCTGACCACTTCATCAGGCAACCAAGCCTGGAGGATAATTACTCTTCACTGAGACCTTGGTGATTATTGGTCTTGCTTTTATTACCTTTCTCCCTTGACTCAGTTTCTGCTCTGTAAGTCGGTTGCCAGTCATTTCTCCAACCCTGTGGGTTGTTTCTGTGCCCTGGCAGAAGCTGCTAGAGAAAGGGGTCATTCTCCAAGTAGTGTTTCAGAATTTGGCACCCAGTCAGGTTCCCATCAGTTCCCCAGAATGAAAGTACAACATTATGTTGCACATCTCAGGTAACCCATGAGAAATGCCAAGTCGGTGGGGAAAAAATGGTACTTATTATTGTCATTATCGTTATTATACCATCTTAATATTTATATAGAGATTTAAAATTTGCAAAATACTTCTAGTACATTAGGTGCCAAACCAAGTGTGACTCGAAAAATACGTTGTGCTCAGCGCCCCATTCTTACAAAGGTGCCAGATCCCTGTAGAAATCCTATTTTGTCCTGGTGTCTGAAGCGCTTCTGCTCCACGGAAATGCATCCTCTCATACCACCTTCCCTCGCACGTGGCTAGGTTCTAGTCTCATGCGAAAGAATAAATGTGTACTACAGCGAAGTGCCACCCATTCAAGGGCTTGAGCAGAGCCTTTCCTACCTCCTTCTTCTATCCAGATCCTGCCTAGAGAATCCAGAGCCCCGGACTCGTGGTCGAGGGATCCAGCTTCTGTCCCAGGTGCTACTTCAGTGTCATCCCTTGCTCCTAGAAAAGGAAGGTATTGCTCTCGTGAATGTGGGCTTCTTCCTGGATTGGTCAGTCAGGGCTCTCCAGCTCCACTTCAGACGTCCTCATAGGAGCTGGGGGAACCAAGTTATCCCAGACGGATATGACTGTCAGCTCTTAGTCTCCTTTCCTTACTACATGCTACACTTGGCAGAGCATCTGAATTGAGAATCCAAACATATGGAATCCAATTTTAGCTGTTCTTGGGAAGCTCTGTGTGGCCTTGGTGGAGGAAGGCACTCTGGTGAATTGGAAAGGACACTGGATTTAGAGTCACAGGATTCTAGCTCCCATTTTTGCCACCTTTACCACCTGGATGACCTTGGGCAAATCACCCAACCTTTCTGAGCTCCATCTGTAGAATGAGGGGGGGTAGGAAAACGATCTCTAAGTCTCATTCCAAGTATTACCATTTTCCCCAGTCACCTCCCATGTTTCAAGTCCTTTCTCTGTGGAACAGGAAGAATAGCAGTTTGCCATTATTATCTCAGTGGGATAGAAAGGTAGATTAATGAAGTGTCTGAGTGCTTTGAGATCCTTAGAAAGAAAATAATCCCCACAGTTTTACTCTCCAGGAAAGAACCCTTTGAGTTATGTCTCCAAATGGGAGACGACTGTTGGAGAAATGAGATGAGGGATTCAGCTCTGGTCGTCCCTCTGATGAAGTCGCAGTAATGGGGCAGAAGGATGGCCTCAAGGGGGGATACATTTCTTGGTGCAGAATAAAATAGCAGCGATACCTTAGTAACTGTCATACCAATGGGAGTGTGAGGGAGCTGGCTGTGCCCCTTGAGTGGGTGCCCACTGATGCTGGCTCTGCTTTGTGTAGTGGTGCACCTGACCCTGTTCTATGAGAATCAGCTCAAGGACCATCACCTGGTGATCCCATCTGTCCTGCAGGGTCTTCGAGCACTGGTAAGTGCCCCCCCCCCCAAAAGAGCAGCACCCCTTATGCTTCTCAAGACACAACCTTAGAGCTAGAGAGGGTCATGGAAGTTAGAGCTAGTCTGAAAGGCAGCTGGGTCTGCTCTGAAGATACTAACCAAGGTCAGGGCTGATGGTGGAGCTAATTTTCGCACCTTTCTTTGCATGTTAGATCAGTACAGGGTGCTGTGCCACTCTTGCTCATGGAGTCTTGTCCAGGGTTCTCAGCCTGGAGACCTCATAGACCTGACGGGTATATGAGGTGGAAGTATGTGCCCTCTTTTCCCTATAGAGTATGTGTGACGTCCTCCCTCCAGGCCTGGCTGTCTCTGTGCTCAAGGCCATCTTCCAGGAAGTGCATGTACAGGTGAGTGACAAGCATTGTCTTGTCTACCTCTTTCCTCTCCCCCATCACCTCCCAAGGGCCTCTAAGGAGATCAGATGGCCAAAAAATCCCAGCAGCCTATTGTGGTCTAGCATCCTGGTGGCACAGGGGGAGGAGAGAGCTCGAGGCCTGAAGTCAGAAAGACCTAAGTTCAGACCAGGCCTCTGGGGCAAGTCATTTAACCTTTGTCAGTCTCAGTTTCTTCATCTCTAAAATGGGGGGGAGGAATAATAATAGCATCTACTTCACAGGGTTGTTATGAGGATCAGGTTGATAGAATGTAAAATGTTTTGCAAACATTAAAATGCTGTAAAATGCTAGCTGTTATTTTTATTAACTTTTTAGTTCTAGAATCAGTGTACATGGGCATTTCGTGCTTATGTGCAAGCATATATGTGCCCAGATGCTTCTCTCTAGTGTACTGTCCTTTGCCTGTTTGTGCCTAAAAAGCCGGTTGGAGCAGAGTGGAGGGAGAGCTAGATCCTCTCACTGAAACTGCTAAGGGATTAGCCTGGCCACTGGAGTAAAGCCCTGGGGTTGGAAGAGGGCTATGCTGACTGATCACTAATTCACTTTCCTATTCACCATCCACTTGCCCACCTCCCCACCCCCAGTCTCTGACACAGATGGATCGCCACACAGTCTACAGCATCATTACCAATTTCATGCGTACCCGAGAAGAAGGTGAGAGAGGCAGCACTGCCTGGGAAGGCAGGGAGGCAGCCGTCACATCTCACTTTCTCCTTTGCTCACTGCCACATCTTCCCTAATCTTACCCACTCTCATGATACTAAGCAGGAGGATAAAACGTGCACAAATAGGCAATGTGAAAATCAAGTCAAGATGGGAAAGACCGGGTTCTCTTGGGGGACTTGGAGGGTCTGTGTGAGTCACTTTGCATCCAGCAAAAAGGAGGGTTTATTTGTGTTTACGGCTTCAAAACTCCCACACAAACCTGTGTTGGACTCCTACTTCTTTAGCACTAGGTATTTTACTTTGAGATAGAAAAGTAAAAGACAAACTCTGGGAGATAAAGATAAAAAATGAATATACAACAGGAGAAAGCCTACAATCCTGTGTTTCATAGGGAACAATGTTGCCTTTGTTCATTCCCTCCCCAGAGCTGAAGGGCCTGGGAGCCGATTTTACCTTTGGCTTCATCCAGGTAATGGATGGGGAGAAAGATCCCCGAAATCTTCTGGTGGCCTTCCGAATTGTCTATGACCTCATCTCAAAGGACTATAGCTTAGGTAAGATCTTAAATTGGTAAGTCAGGTTAAGGCCAAAGGATGAAGAAGATTGTAAACGAGCCTAATCTTCTGTGTTTATCCCTTTAGGGCCCTTTGTAGAGGAACTCTTTGAGGTGACATCCTGTTACTTTCCCGTTGATTTTACTCCAGTGAGTATCTTCTTAGAGGGAATTGTGAGAACATTTGAGAGTGGATGAAATTTTGATTTAATAAGTGTTTATTGAAAATTTACTGTGTTCAATCACTAACCATAATTCCTTAGAACTGATGGTAAAAGTCACCCAACTCCTGAGAAAAAGGTAGTAAACTCAGAGGGCAGACTGAGACATGTTTTTTAGACATGGCCAATGTGAAAATTTGTTTTACTTGACTATATATTTTTGTAATAAGGGTTTTATTTTTCTTGCTTTCTCAACGGGGGAGAGGGTGGGGAACGGGAGGGAAGTGGGAGAAAGAAAAGGCTCATCTTTGTTTGAAAATAAATTAAAATTTAATTTAAAAATAAAAAGAGGAAACTGAAAAAAAATTTACTCTGTTTTTAACATTGTGCTTAGTGCTATTGGGGTTGGGACATGGGAGGTGGGGTGAGGTGAGTCTGGAATGGTTGGGATATAGGTAGGCACCAAGAGGGACTTTGGTCTCTTTCAGACCCTACATACTGGAGAGAAGTGTTTCATGCTGCCAACAACGGAGCCCTTGGATTTCTTATTTTTAAAATTTGTTCTTTAAAAAAAGAAAAAGGCCCATTGGGTCTGGGTGTGGTGGGAGCTAATAGTCCTGAAGATCCTTAAGGAATCAGGAAAAGAAGACTATCTTCTACATGCTGGTGCCTTAGATGCTGATAGATAAGTCCTGGGTTTCACCAAGGCAGGCTGGACAGTGTGAGGCTCAGGATCGTGTTTGACTGAGAGGAGGAGCTGTATAGACTCATCACCTTTCTAACTCCCCTAGCCACCTAATGACCCCCATGGTATCCAGAGAGAAGATCTCATCCTGAGCCTTCGTGCTGTTCTGGCTTCCACACCTCGATTTGCTGAGGTGAGTTGAGCCCAAGGTAGGACCTCGTGGGAGCTAGCTAAGTAACCCTCATGTTTGGCTCTGGTTGGCTCATTTTTTTAATATGTAGTTTGATTTCTCATTATATGGAAGAGTTAAGACCTGAGGCCGTAGAGCTTGGGAGAGAGAAAGGTCCTCATATTCTGAAGAAGTTACTGACATTCCACAAGTACCCTCAAGACCTGTCATAATGATATTTCTTCTGGAATTTTCAAAATACCAACCCTACATGGGAGTTTTTTGGGGGGTGTTGTAACCCAGTGCTGTCCCAGGTGATGAAGATCCAACTATTCCAGTTCCCTGGGAACAGTGCCATGATGTGAGGACCACGACCCTGTGGTTTGAATGGAGGCCTTGGGCAAAGTAGGATGTATGTCTGTAGTGCTGTGGTTCACCCAGGAGCACTGGAGGAAACTTAGGGTGCTAAAGTCCTTCTTACCTTTCTCCTGTAGTTCCTACTGCCACTGCTGATAGAGAAAGTGGACTCTGAGATGCTCAGTGCCAAGCTGGACTCCTTGCAGACGCTGGTGAGGGAATGCTTCTGCTGCTGACATCTTGCTGCCCTTTGGAGGTCAGGAGTGAGGGTATAAAAGGGTGGAGATATAAGTACCTGAGAAGGTAGGGGAATACTTCTGTGGGCTTTAGGAGGGATCGCCCTTTTTTGTGCCCTGCTTATTTAGGTGGGCAGGCCCAGATCTGGGCTGATGCAGGGCATGACAAGGGATGAAGGGGAAGGCAACGGCGATGTGGGCCCTTCAGCAGGTGGGCTCTTAATTTATAAGTGAAGAGGCACTAGATTTTCTTGTTAAGGGCTCAGGACTGAGTGATGCATCTGGCTCACCTCTTGTGCCATTGCCCACAGAATGCCTGCTGTGCTGTGTATGGGCAGAAGGAGCTGAAGGACTTCCTGCCTAGCCTGTGGGCTTCCATCCGTAGAGAGGTAACTGTTTCCCAGGGAAGGGTAGGGGAAGACCTCTGCTAAACAAGCAGAATCACAAGAAGTAATGATGGGTCTCAGGTGTGAGGGCTAGGACTGGGTGGTTGGAAGAAAATCTTTCCCTTCTGCTGCTTTGGGTCAAGGCAACACGCCAGCCCCTATAGCAAGTGGAAGGGCATCCAGTGAGCCACTGGGGGGGGGGATCTGCTCTAATGTGAGCTCCTGACTAAGGCTTACCAGGGACCAGTAAGAGCAAACAGAGTTAGGAAGAGAAAAGCCCTGGCACAGAGGTTCCCAGACGACTGTAATTCCAAGTCTTTCCAATTGGGCTTTGGTATCCGTGGAGCCATTAGATGGGACAGTGAAAACATTGCTGAATTTGGAGTCAGGGGACCTGAGTTCAAATCTTGGCTCTTCTACTTACTGTGTGACCATGGGCAAATCACTTCACTTCTGGGCCTCAGTTCTTCATCTGTAAGATGTTAGATTAGCTGACCTCTTCAGTACCAGGATTGGGGGAGCCTTTGCACTTATTAAATGCTAGGGCATGTGTGCTGAATTGGCTTGAAAGTGGTGCATGCCAGCCACTGGTGGATGAAGACTGTGTTTGATGGTGAAGATACCACAATGGAATTCATTTGGAGGAGATTTCCATGGTTCCCAAATCCTTCAAGAAGGGAATATGCTGGGTGGGATGTTTCTGGTTCTGGGTGCTCTTACCATCTGTGGGACCCCTTCCCTTACAGGTATTCCAAACATCTAGTGAGCGGGTTGAGGCCGAAGGACTGGCAGCCTTGCACTCCCTGTCTGCGTGTTTGTCTAGATCCGTGTTGGAGGCTGATGCAGAGGATCTCCTTGACTCCTTCCTTGGCAGTATCCTAGAGGGTAACTGGACCTGGGGTCGGAAGGGCGGCCAGGGTGATAGAACTGAAGTTCCCCGAGGCAAGGCAGTGGGCCCAGTAGCCTTGCATGGGTAGCCCTCTTGTACTTATGGCTGGAAACTGCCTTGGGAAAAACTGTCAGCTCGTGGCCACTGAACTGGCTGTCATCATCTAAGGTTAAGGGATGGGGGAGCAGGGGGAGTGTATAGCCTGCCAGCCCCCTCACGATACTCTCCCTCTGCAGACTGCAGGCACCACTTGTGTGAACCTGACATGAAGCTGGTGTGGCCTAGTGCCAAGCTGTTGCAGGCAGCTGCAGGTGCATCCGCTCGGGCCTGTGACCGCATCACCAGCACCGTGATACCCTTGCTTCTGGAACAGTTCAATCGGCATGGCCAGGTAGGGGAATGAGATGGGAACCTAGTTGGGGGAAGGGGAGGGTAGCTAGTTTAAAAGACTTTTTGGGTCCTTAAAAATAACCTTTGACTTCAGTTTCCTTCATTACTTTGTAGAGCAGCCAGAGGCGGACAATTCTAGAGATGCTTCTGGGTTTCTTAAAGCTACAGCAAAAGTGGGGAAATGAAGACAAAGGTGAGATCACTCCTTGCCCCATAGTACTGCCCTGGGGGCTAGCTGCGGGGGAAAACATTTAACCTGGCAAGGGGAAAATGTTTTTATTCCAGTGAGTTTCCTGGATTCCCAGTCATTTGCCCCCACACCCATAGTAATGATGTGCTGTAATTAAAATCAAACCAGCAGATTGGGAGGTTCAAGGTCTTTGCCTCAATTGTTGGTTTTTTTGGCCAAACTCTAATATCTTTGGTTGTCTCTCCACAGATGAAATACCTCTGAGTGGCTTCAAGGCTCCCATATGCTCATTGGTCTCCTTGGCCCTGACAGACCCCAGTACACAGCTCCAGCTTGTTGGCATCCGTGCCCTCACAGTCTTGGGTGCCCAGCCAGGTCTGAAGGGAGTGAGGAAGGACTGGGGGGGAGGGTGTGCATTCTTCCCCCAGAGGCTCCTGCAAAGAGCAGGCTTCCATCAGTGCCGGCCATAGCTCTAGTTACTCCGGGTTTGTGTTAGTTTCCTTTGGCGTGCTACAAGGAGTAAAAGGTGAGGGCCCCTTCTGATTGCAGGGCTGCTATCTACTGAGGACCTGGAATTGGCAGCTGATCATCTCTACAGGCTGAGCTTCCTGAAGGAGGATTCCCAGAGTTGGTAAGAAGCTGGAGCTAGGGCCAGCCTGCCCTCCCACCTGCCCTCAGATGGCAGCCTTGGTTCTTCTCCCTGAAGTCAAAGGTCTAAGGTTGGCCCTGGCTACAGAAATCTTTCCCAACTTGTAGGAACAGAATTTCTGATCTCTAAGTCAGAGATCACATAGTCCAGTCCTGACAGACAGACAGCTTAATATGGTCCCCAGGCACATTACCTCCTCTGGACTTGACAGCAGGCTTTGGTTTGGAGGTTGTACCTTGGGCCAGGGAGGGACTGAGCGGCACCATAGGTCTGCCAGCCCCCTACTTCATCACCCAGCTTCTAGGGCTTAGCCAGGGAAGCCTCACACTGAAGGTCCTGCCAGATGATCGTCCTCAGAGGGGACAGAGGAGCCCTCTTGCTGGCCTGGCAGTGGATGGGTTGCTCCTTATTGTCAAGCTTCAGCTCATGTTCTTCTGTGCCCCTGGCAGTTTGGCAGCAATGGAAGCGTCAGGGACGCTGGCCACCCTCTACCCCACAGTCTTCATTAGCCACCTGGTGCCCCGGCTGGCAGCGGAGCTCCGTACAGGTATGTGGTCCATGGGCCCCTGTACCAGGGCCAGGAAGGGGGCAGGACAATGTAAGGAGGAGAACGGGGGAGTCTGGGGGATTGCCAAGCTTCTAACGGTCTAGAGTCCTGTCCTCCAAGCCCCCAAGGATGTCCAGTGGGCAATGAAACCTTGTTCCCTGTGTTGCTGTTTCCAGGGGACACAGAATTGGCCAGTGGGGAGGGACCTTCATACCAGGCCAGACGCTTGCGCTGTCTACAGGCCCTGGCAGCTGTCTCTACACATCCCAGTATTGTCAGGGAGACCCTTCCCGTGTTGTTGCAGCACCTCCGTCGCGTGCACAGAGGTAACTGACAGGAGTAGTGGAGGCAGGTATGAGTGGGACTCTGAAGTAACAGGTGCAGAAACTGTCCTCAGATGTGAGCTGGTGAGACACAGGTGGGGAGGTAGATGCCACGTGGGCCTCACCATCTCTGCCAAGTTCTGTCTGCTGTATAATTTCTCTGTAGTGAGTTCTATCTAGGTCCATAATAATGGCTGGGTGAGAAAGAATAGAAAAGAAACCCTTTAAATTATTCTTAGAGGAGCAAGAGCATTTTACACTTCATAATTCATAAATTGAAAATGTTCGGGGTCTTCTTACAGGAGGTGACTTTCAAAAAAGTCTCAGCGAAGAATGAACTGTGACTTCTTTTTTTCCCAGGGAATAATGCAGACTCTATCGAAGTTATTGCTGTCTGCCGGAGTCTCCACCTGGTAGCTGGGCAGTGCCAGCAGGAGCCTGAAAGTTGCTGGTACTTCCACCAAACGGCCATACCTTGCCTGCTTGGCCTGGCTGTTCAGGCTTCCATGCCAGGTAACCTGGCTTGCTTCTTCCTCGCTCTCTGTGGGACTTTTCTCCTTCTTTGACCCTAGTATGACCTAACACTGCCCCCCTCAGGGGAGAGCCAGTAATGCAACACGAGGCTGTGGATCACCTTGAGTTAGAAGGGATCTTCAGGGTCCTCTAGTCCAACTTCCTGGTGGCCCAGATCACCCAGAAAACAAAGGGCAGAGCTGAACGGAGTCAGCCAGCCTCTTAGGGTCAGAGAGGTGGGCTGCAAGTGTGATTAATACCATTGGACTACACTGATTTTTCCTTTCAAACTTTCCGACTTACCAGGTGTTGTTTTTCTTCCTCTCCTTCTGCTTATTTAGAGGAGAGGTTATAACATGACTGTTGGCAGGGAGGGCCCAAGTCAGATTAAAATGTAATTGGGGGGCAACTAGGTGGCTCAGTAGATAGAGCACCAGCCCTGGATTCAGGAGGACCTGAGTTCAAATTTGGCCTCAGACACATAACACTTATGACTCTGTAACTCAGGGCAAGTCACTCAACCTTCATTGCCCAACCAAAGCGGAAAAAAAAATACGTAATTGGGAAATACTAAACAAAATGAATACACATACAATAGCCCATAGAGATAATGCTGCTCTGTGGTTTGCTGAGGTAGTGACCTCATTTCTACTGAAATTTGCTCCAGTGAGTTCAAGAACCTGTAGCTTGTGACAGTTAACAACGGTTACTTCCTTTTAATAGGCTTCATTTGCCAGTCTGTAAAAGGAGGTGAGACCAGATCATCTCAGGATCTCATTCTAGGCCTAGTGGCATCAGTACAACTGATGGCAGTTTTTTCTTCATCTTTACTTCAGGGGCTGCATGTGAAACTGGACAACTTTTTATGGATCTAGGAAGTCTGATAATGGCTTAATTTAGTCTTTTCCTTTTGGCTCCCAGGATTATAGTGCTGGGTAGGAGTGTGGAAGGGAGAAAATTCACAAGTGTAGCTGGAGTCTTAGCCTAAAGTTACTGCTTCAGGTGTTACCTATGTCATCTGCGTCCTTGAGGCCTGTGGTGATTTCTAACACAGTGCTACTGTTGCAGAAAAAGGCCTCCCCAACCTTGGGAAGCTGCTGTTGGAGGAGGAGGTCTTGGCCGCCATGGTCTCTGTCATCAGCACAGCCAGCACCCACCTAAGTCCTGAGTGAGTTTGATAAGGGAATGTCACATCTGGGAGAAGATGTTGCCTTTTAGCTCGGCCTTCAGTCCAGACTTGAATCTGTGTAGGCCAGTCATCTCGGGGAGGCATTTTAGGGGACATCTCTAGGATTTCCTGGCTGGGTTAAACTAGGCGCTGCCTTCTGTCCCCAGGCTAGCTGCTCGAAGTGTTGCCCTGATTGTGCCCCTTTTCCTGGATGGCGACGTATCCTTGCTGTCTGAAAACAGCTTCCCCAGCAAGTTCCTCCCATTTCAGGTAAGGCACTAATAGGACGTAGAACAGGACTCCATGCTGTGGTGTATGCTTTCTGAGCTAATCTAGGACGGGGGAAGGAAATTCAGCATTGGAAATATGTGGTGCTTTGCAGCGTGAGGATGAGTTTCTCCTTCCTTTATAGAATAGCTCCTCAGAACAGAAGCGGCTGGTTGCACTTCTCATGGCCTTTGTTTGCTCTCTGCCCAGGAACGTAAGTGAATAGGCTCTTGGGGGCACAGGATTTAGCCCTGACCTGGGGAGGTGGAGCCCAGTGACCTTGGGGTTGAAATGTTCCTATAGTTGAAGCTGGTCCAGACTGCTTCTCTTCCCTCATCTTCAAATGTCATTCTTACTCATCCTGGCTCCCGTAGCCATTCCTTGCTAAGTGTTTCTTGGAATTCAAGTGCTTCCTGGGTCTGCCCTGTGACCTGGACTCTCTGCAGGTGGAGATCCCTCGGCTGGACAGGCTAATGCAGGAGCTGCTGACCCTGAGCTGCCACCATGATGGGCTCTTCTCCTGTACTGCTGCCGCCAAGTGCTTTGCAGGGCTACTTAACAAACACCCAGCAGGTATGTGGGGACAGGGAGACGCAGATACGATCATTGATTCAATCTTCTTACCCCTACTTGTGTTGGGTAAGGGGTAAGAACTAGATGGTCACACACTTCAGCGTTCGCCCCTCTTTTCTAGGGCAGCAGCTAGATGAATTTCTACAGAAGGCTATGGAAAAAGTGGAGGCTGGCCTGAACCCAGGGCCCTATCGCACTCAGGCCTTCACACTGCTCCTTTGGGTAAGGGAAGAGAATGGCCTGGAGTGGAGAGCCACTGTCACGTACTCTGAAGTGGGGCTCTCTGCAAGGCCATAGCTATGTAGATGGGTTTTCATTTGGGGAATTACTCTGTTTCTCTTATTCACAGGTGACAAAGGCTTTAGTGCTCAGATACCACCCTCTCAGCTCCTGCCTCACCGAGCGGGTAAGACCTTTCAAGGGGATAAAGGTCTGACAGTAGTACTCTGCTTGGACAGCCACATTCACCAGCACCCAGATTTACAGCCTTTCTTCATGACTCTTGACTCCAACGCTTTGGTCTCTCTAGCTAATGGGCCTTTTGAGTGATACAGAATTGGGCCCTGCAGCAGCTGATGGCTTCTCCCTGCTGATGGCCGATTGCCCAGATGTGTTGCATCGAGCTGGCCATGCTGAGATACGCATCATGTTCCGCCAGCGCTTCTTCACAGATAGCATGCCTGCACTGGTCCAGGGTTTCCATGCTGCTCACCAAAGTGAGTCTTTTTTCCTCTTGGTGGCCAGGTACTATTGCAACTGGACCTTTGCCCTGCCTTGCTTTTTAAATCCTAGGCAATTCCCGGGCCTTTTTTTTGAGTTTGTGCCCCTTGGAATACATTAGGGGTTAGGTCTGGGTATAATCTTCTATCCCAAGAATTCCCAAATACTCTTCCATTTCTTGTAGACGTGAAGCCAAACTACCTGAAGGGCTTGTCTCACGTACTCAACAGTCTGCCGAAATCGGTGCTTTTGCCAGAGTTACCAACAGTGAGTCCTCTGGCCTTAATAAAAATGGAGGGCAGAGAAGGGGTGCTGAGGTAGGCTGTAAGTGACTGCATGGGTCCCCCCTGACTATCGCTGTTGTCCTTTAGTTACTCTCCCTGTTGCTCGAGGCTTTATCCTGCACAGATAGCGTGGTACAGCTCTCCACCCTCAGCTGCCTTCAGCCTCTTCTGCTAGATGCCCCACAAGTCATGAGCCTTCACATTGACACCCTCATTACCAAGTTCCTAAACCTCAGCTGCAGCCCTTCCATGGTGAGTATGATCTCAGTAGTTTTTCTAGCTGAGACCCCTCTTCTTGCTGCTCTATCATTCCCCATATCTCCTTGTTTTTGTTCCAGGCTGTTCGGATTGCTGCATTACAGTGTATATATGCACTCACCAGGCTGCCAACTCCCGTGGTAAGGGCCTATAATTACCATTTCAAAGGGGATGACAAACAGTGGACATGGGTCTGGGTCAGTGATGATTTGGGGAAATGGAACCCCCCCAGGCATCCTGAGCCCTATACTTGGCAATACTGAGTACCTATCAGAGCAGGCTTCCCACTGTGGCCCCCTCAGGGTAGTCAGAAACCGCAAAAAAGCAGGATTTATTCTCACCTTCCTAGCAAACCAGTTCTGCAGCCCCAACAGGTGAAAAAATAGAGAATTCCTTCCTTATCCAAATCTGCTCCTGAGAGGGCTAGACCCTAGGTGACAGGCAAATGTCCTTCCACAGCTGCTGCCCTACAAAATGCAGGTGATCCGGGCCTTGGCTAAGCCACTGGATGACAAGAAGAGGCTGGTGCGCAGAGAAGCAGTGACTGCCAGGGGAGCATGGTGAGTGTCTGGGGAATGGGAGACTTGGGGCATAAGTACAGCTCCAGGTTAACGCATCAACGCCATCCCCTGTTCTCATACCCCACAGGTTCCTCCTGGGAAGCCCAGGCAGCTGAGGGCCCAGCCTTGTGCCTGACAACACTGACAGACAATCTGATCCAGTTACTGACTTGTCAAGGCGTCTTCCTACCGAATGGACCCTGGTCCAAGGAGGGGAGACCACTGGCCCCCTCCCCACTGGGTTCAGTTTGTGCTGCATGGCTCCACAAGGAACACAGTATTCCTCATTGCCAATGAATATTGTGAAGTGACCGTGTGGGGCCATGGGAGTGTTTTGGCAAGAAGAGACCCTGGCTGGGTAGAGGCTACAGAGTAAAGAGGGCAAAGTTGTACAAGGGTAAAGGAGATACCTGGGTACCCTACTGAGGAACCAGTGTGTGATTGGCCCTAAGGGCTACAGAGACTTTGTATGTTGTATGTGCGCCTGCTGGAGAATAAAGACATCTTTTGGCTATGTGGCCGGTACAGAAAACTCACCCTCCCACCAGCCCAGGAGTTCCAAGTCCAGCTAGTTTTCTTTTCTTAGGAACTGTGATTCTGAGACAAGGGGGAAATGAGGAACTTTCTAAAATAGAGTGCGAGGGACAGGTAACAAATAATGACACGTCAGGCATTTACTCCGTGATGGAGACCCCACAGGCCAACTCTCTTCTCTTCCCAAGCACACCCAAGAAACGTCAGAGCTACGGTATGGTAAGAGGGGCAGAACAGGATTGAGTTCAGTCTTTACAAAAGGAAATACTTTTATTTCTGCAGTAAGCAGAGTGTGAAAAGTGGCAGTGACCTCAGTAAGAGCCCAGGGGTCCGTTTGTACCTTTAAGCTCTTTTCCCATTCTTTTCTCACACGTCAGAGAAGGGAGATGGTACACAATACCAATGCTGTAACCCAGACCGGGTCTCTCAACAATTTTTGTTTGGGGCACAGGCTCTCCCCACGTGTAGAATCCTGGCCACATGGACACTGGAACTTCTGTCAGCCTGAGTGAACGGGACTTTAGCCCTGGAGTCCTCCATGTCACACTGCTCACCTAATGCCCAAAGGTTGGCCCCATAGCATTCTGTGTGATACAGGAAGCCGGTCCAAATGACTTCTTTTGCTTCGTGGTTCCAAAGAAAATCTCCCTACCAGTACCTTGTTCTGGGTTGAAAGAGATCTCCAGCCCCTTGAGACCACAGAGGAGGTAGGACCAGCCTTAGAGGCCATACGTACCCACAGCCCAGCTCACACAGCCAGCACAGAGTCTGGGGCTGTTGTCACATAGGGAGGAGGGTCCCAGGTCATCCCATTCCCATAGGGCAGATGACTAGAAGGCAGCAGGACACGAGTGAGCCAGTGCCTGCAAGAGAAGACAAAAATCGTTCTTGAGAAAGGCTCTAGGCCTTCATCAATATCGATGTTTCCAAGTCTTTGGGTATAAGTTCACATACCTCCCCAATCCCAAAACATGGATCAAGAACGTCTTAAATACCATCAGAGGAACTAGCTATCCCTATAAATGTCACTAGAGGGCTAAAGTCACAGGCAAGGATTAACTGGAAAAAGGTGAGAAAGGTGCAGAGAGAACTAACTGATCCCTGTGGTCATAGTGGCTATCTTTATTGGACAGAGCGACTAGGGGAGATGCTTTTATTAGGGAACAGTGACTTCCTTGAGCGTAAAGGTCTAAAGCAGGACCTGGCACATACTATATCAGTACAGTATGGACCTATTTATAATAATCATTCCTGAGCCTGGAAAGAAGCCACATGTCCTTTATCTAAGGCAAGAGAATAATCTTAATAGCTCTTACCTAGTAATAGGCCACACCTCAGTGAATGGAAGGGCCCCGCCCCCCTTCTTCCCCCATGAGGGTATGTAATATTTCACTATTTACCTTCTTGTGTTCACACCCAGGAACACCTTCCAGTTGTCCAAGCAGCCGTAATTATAAGGATTCCTAAATACCTGTAGCCAAGGAAGCATATGTGTGCCCAGGAGATCCCTTTACCGAAACCCACCCCACCCCCCTCCCTTTTAGACTCAGAGCCTCAGCCAAGACTCTAGCCTTATAAAAATGGTCTCTCCTGCTGGATGTCCCACTTCCCACGCCTGTACTCACTTTGCCCTTCAGCGAGAGCCGATGCCTCTCCTTCCTGTTGATATGCCTCTCGATACTGGTCTCACCCCGGCTGATGAGGACAGCATGCCATACTGTCAGAGCCCCTAACGCCAGTGCCACAGAGCTAAGAGGAAATGGAGAAAGCGCTAGCATACGTTCCTTGCAATGTTTCACAAAGAGACTTAACCCCATTGTAGCAAAAGAAACCCCAGTAAAACTCAGCCCATACCAAGTACTTCAATTCTTTATTAATTTAAAGGGACTTAAAAGAACCAATTAACTACCTCCCACTCCAGAAGAAAATGGCAAAGTTCATCACTTTATTATCAAGGAAGACTATGTATGTGGGGAGTGTTGATCTTGATGGATTCCACCATGTGCCCGAATCTGAGGAATGTACAGACAAGGGTCTGCTGACGGACCATCCAGGCCCTTTTGTGAGAATGGGCTCAGGTCTGACTGAAGGACTAGTGGTAGTGAGCAGTTGGCTCTAAAGTCCATCTCAGACTCAGACCCCAGGGACTTAATATTCAAAGCACCAACAAGAACTTTCTGTCCTGGATGTTTTGGTTTTTTTTTTTTCCATAGTCAATTCCCATACCATAGTTCTAGAGAATTTACAATGCATTACATTTACAGTGTCTTTCTGCACATCAATACTGTTTTTGCACCATGGTTAGCCTGAGCAAGAAAAAGTCTGCCCAAGTAAAGGGCTATCAGTGGAAGAGGTATAAGACTTGGTCTTCTCGGCTTCAGGTAGGAGAACTAGCACCAACAGAAGGAAGCTGGAGGAAGGCAGGTTTCAGCTTGATATAAATACAGAAAAGCTCCTTACAGTATGAGCAGCTGTTCACAAGTGGACTGGTCTGGGCTGTGAAAAGAGCCAAGTTCCCTACTGCCAGAAATCTCTAACATCCGCCCATGTTTGAAGGAGGTACTTGTTCAGGGGAGGGCTGAACTAAATGGCCTCTAAGATCCTTCCAACTCTGAGACCATCAGCTTCTAGACTGAATGCTGGCCAAGACCGTATCTGATGTTGCTTCTGTGCCACAAGAATGTTCTCCTTAACATGGTTTCAGGGAACCAGGCAAGGCCATGAGGTGGGAAGTAGGCCCCTAGACCTTGTCTACCACGGAGCCTCAAAAAGCACCTGTCTGGGTGAGTGGTGGAACTTGGCTTGCTTCTAGCTGTGAAACTCCACTAATGCCCTTTTCACCTGGCTCCCATAATTGCTGCTAATGTTAGCCTGTTCCTGAGGATAGCTCAACACAACTCAACACTTCTTTTGCTCTAGGGAGTTTAAAGTTTTCCTTTAAACAAGCACATTATCTGAGCATGACGTACCCATGCTTACTCACAGCAATGACTATAGTGTGAATATGCATTAAGAGACATGCAAAGGGTCATTAGCCATGTTTTTTCTCTTTACAGAATTAGGAGTCCAGGAGGCAGGAGAAGTGGGTTAACTTCTCCAGGTTCTCCAGGGGAACCAAACAGGGATGAGTTTATTCCTGTTTACTCTTCCCTAAGGAACAAGGCTCCCCATCACGGCCTACTTCTATTAGGGAACAGCGGAGTTAGTTACCTGCACAGGAACCATAGGTAAACCAGGCTTTTGTGAGTCATCCTTTCCCGGAAGGAGAAAGTGGGTGGTGGGGTCTGGTGATAAGTCTGAAACAAACAGCAACAGAACCTGAGTGTTTCTTGTCCCTTAGCCCAATGCTGTTGCCAGTAGAGGCCCCAGCACCCACAGGCATGGCATTGGTCCAGGTTTTAGGCCAGAAAGAGACAGAAATAAAGCTAGAGATGAGTCAAGAAAGCAGCCAGATGGGTGGACAGAGCCCAGCAACATCATCACATGGACAAAACACTGGCCAGAGCAGGTCTGAACAAGACGGCAAAAGCGCAGGGGGAAGAGTTTGGCTCAGCTAGTAAGGTTTAGACAACACAGATGAGGCTCCAGGGAAGCTGTGTCGCCACCCCTCTCCCTTTTCTCCCCAGTGTGATTCCTGCACTACAGAACTACGTCCCCAAGAAGTGAAAAGATCCACGCCCTACCTGGCTGACTAGGGTGGGGAAAAGGAAGAAACAGTGGAGATGGAGGCAAAATGTAAAAAGTATAAAACACTAAAGGATTTTTACTGTGATGAGGCATGAGGATTGGGGAAGTCTGGTCATGAAGCAGTTTGAGATCTGCTCAGGATAAAGATTCCTAAGGGGTTGGTTGAGGGGAGTTTTTCTTATGAAGCTAAAAGACCAGATTAACCCATTCTGTTTTCTGTCTCTGGACCCTGGAACCCCATTACACAGACCAACAAAGACTCCGTGCTGCTCAGGCCAGCATCAAAGCAGAGCCTTTTCAGTTTGAAGAAGAATAGGACTAGATAGTCAGGAAACTGATTTAAAGGCAGTAAAGTGTTATACCAATCTTAAGTTACTTGTCCAGTACTGGCACTGCTCCCAGGCACTAGAGCCCCAATGCCCTGTGCCCCGTGCAGACAGCCACCCATAGCACACCACTCTACAGCCTCCAGAGGCCCTAGAGCTAGAAAGGCCAGGGCTACCTCTCCAGACCTGTAACCCCAGACCTGAGCAGCAGGAGGCAGTGAGTGGGACGGCCCACCTGATTGGCAGCCACCTGTAGTTTGTTCCTGTCGAGCTGTTTCATTTTCTATGGGGATGGAAAATAGTACCGGTTATATTCTCTGGCCTTAGGATAGGAGCTTTGCCAGCCCCACTCCAGAGTGACAGACTTCTCCTGTACCATTGCTGCCCTAAGGCTCCTCCACACCCCTCAGTCTCCACTGCTCACCTCGAGAGCAGCATAAGCTTCCCGGAACATATCCCAGCTGCCAAAGCTGCAGTAGACACAGCCCAGGGTCATGAAGAAGCAGAAGGAGAAGAAGTACCGGTGGTTGTAGTGGCCCACACAATTGTTCAACCAAGCTGGGAGTGAGGACTTAAGGATCAGCCTGGCCAGCAGCCTCCAGAGGGAACCTGGGGTACAGGGAGTTGGCCGCCTGGCCAGGCTGGGGAGAGCTGAGGATGCTGCTCTCTAGCTCCCCAGGCCAGGGTGTGCCACACTCGCAGAACAAGCAGCTGAATTCGGAAGGCCAATTCCTCAGGGACAATGCTACTGGAGCCACATGCTAAGTCGGGACACAACTCTTCCAAGTCTCCCAGAACTCACATAAGTCTGTTCTGGCACACTGGGAATTAAAATCCTTAGGAAAGGCAAGCTGTGCCTGCCATTCACCTTAATGTTGCTACTGGCTCCTGCCTCGACCTATGATGGGGAGCCATTACTGAGCACCTGTTGGAAGAAGGGAAGGAACCTGGAGTTCTAGCAAGCCAAAGTAAGAGAACAGCATCCTTACCTCAATCCTTTCTCTAGCT